AGCTTCTTGCACGGAGGTGAGCATCAAAGGAAAGGCCAAATAAATTGGCCTGCCCTAACCCATATTACTCATTTTTTTCTTAATTTTATGCTTTTTATTTTGCTCTCAGATGTCTATGTTATAGTCTTCTTGCTAGATGAGTCCACACTTTKGACTTGCATATCCCGTACACGTAATTTCTAGTACTCCATCAAACATGCCAAGGGGAGGTAGTTTACTGCATTGCAAATACCTGTGTATGCAGACGAGCTGTGATCTCCATCTCTCTGGCCGCTATGGAGAGGAATGCAGATGCGTGTCCCCCTGCCCCAGCTCGCTGGCTTTCTTGTAAAGCTTTCTTAAGGAAAACAACAACAACAAAATCACACACAAGGAAAATTATACCCTCTCCTGAAATCAAAGTTATGGYCATTTGTTAAGAATTCAGCCAAGATTAGAAATGTCCTTTCTTGATKACAATAAACTAAAAGATTATCAAGATCCTTTCCCCAATTTCATTACATATTGGTGCAAAAATTGGTTCACTTAAAAGAAGGTTCAAACTTGGATTTTCTTTTCTGGCTTTTGGCTAGACTAGCAGCATGAACCCTTTCCCTTAAGCCTTGTTTCCACTTTGATTTTTTTAGGTCTTCTTTCTTACAAAGCACCTACACACCCCAAACCCCCTGCTTTTCTATCCTCCTTTTATTCACATTTCACTGAGGTTCATTTTCCACCTTACTCTCATTCTTGTGCAACAGGTCATTGTTCTGTTTCTTCTGGTTAGCTTGAAGCTTCTTGTGTCCATTATAGACTTCTCGAGACAGCGATAAAAGTTTATATGATGTATTATGTGAAACATTAAATGCCCAATTGTTTTAGCAGGTGCAGAACACATCTGTTTTTTAATCCTCATGTKCAGCCTAAGGGTGATGCTGCAGGTAGCAGAAGCAGGACCGGGATGCTCAAACTGGGATGCTTGCAGACAGCCCGGGGCTGTGCTGGTGTTTGCAGGAGCTCCCCATGGACGTGGGTGATTTAGGGCATCCMAAGACCCAGAAGAGCAGCTGGTTCTTTCTCTAAAGAACCTTGTCGTAACAGCCTCGGTGTCAGGAAGTGGCCCTGGTGTCAGCTTAGCTGATTTAACAGGACTCACAGGCTTTTTAAAATAATTTTTAAAATAATTTTTCGGTCTCAGTCAGAGATGTGTCAGAATGAATAGGTGCCGGGTGGCTCTCTGGATGGAGGAAAAACTCCCGGAGAAGGAGGTCAGCGTCTCCTGTTGCTCATTATTTGTCAGAGCTGCTTGATCTTGTGTTGGGCAGGAAAGAAAAGGCTGATTAAAGTGAGTGCTGTGAATGTGCCCATGKTGTTGCTGGTCCTGACAAGCCAGTGGGAGTTTAAACCGGCTTCCCTCGTTGCAGCAAGGTTTTTTTCTTTTCCCCCTGGTTTCTGTCTTCCTTGTCTGCAGCTTGTGGCCGGGATTGTGGCTCTTTCAAAGCATCTCGGCTGCGCAGAGCCCAGCAGGACCCTGCTCCTGATGAGAGTTTATTGGCAACACTGCGAATTCTATTACAGCTTAGCTCCCCTTCCTAAACAATAAATTACACACGCAGCAAAGCTCTATGTGACAGACCCAACTTTGGATTAGCATCAAGAACTCATTCGCTTTGACCACCCTCACCTCAGCTTGAATCAGTGCCGTGGACCTTTGGATTCATCCATGCTAACCTTCCTAATTGCCAAGCCTCCCATATYGTCCCCATCCCCGTGAGCGCTGCTGCGCTCCCGGCAGCAATCGTGGTTTTTGCACGGGTGAAAATAAGCTGCCGACAGGCTATTGCGTGAGAGCCGCTGTGAGGTGTTTGCCTACCTAGGAAAGGATTAGGCAGTGGGACATTTCAAGCAGCGGCTTGACRGGAATTTTACTGCTGGAGATGGAGATGAGCTAAAATGTGCTCCATGGTAGCAAACGTGACGTGCATAGCACATGAAAGTGGTGTTGATAAGCAAGATCCGTGCCCGTTGTAGGAAGGAGTCCTGACCTAAAAGAAAAGCCGCAAATGCYTTTAGTGTGGCTAACCTCCGATAATGAATTCTATTTGTGCAATTTTCTCCATTTATGKTTTTTTAACAGTATTTTCGGAGGGGTAAGTGTCAAGTGGTGTTCCATAGGTGTGCAAAGAATAAGAGATTGATTCCTCCCCTGCACATTATCCATTCAAATTAACTCCGGCTAAAGCTTGGACAGTTCTCCGGGTCTTCTGCCATGCTGGAAACCAGTACACAGCCTTTCTGTCTTCAGCTACCCAAGAGATACCCCACTCCAGGCAGAGCTTTGGGGAYGTTTTGCAAGCTCTTATGCAGATGTGACATTCTTTCCCTCCCTGTCTCCCTCTTCCCTTTTATTCACATCGGTGACTTTTTGGCTGAGTTCTGTATTGAGGGATACCAGTTGTGAAATATTGCTCAGAAATGCCTTTATCGCTGAAAGCCAGGGGCACAAATCCTTGGGAATTGTACATGGAAGGCTCTTCAGGGTAGYGATGAGTAAAGTTCAAATAATGTAATTAAACAGAAGTTCCTGACCTAGTGTTGACAGCCTGGGCCTGCTTGTAGGTCATGGAATACTTTAGCATTTTTTCTATACACCTTTGGTAGCAGTAATGAGATTCTTATTGATTTTGAGGAGCTTTGTGACCTTGTCGGTTAGAAGTATCTAGTATTGCTAAGATGAATGAGTTCAAATACTTTCAATCTAAATCACGTTTAGTAACAAAATGCCTTTTTATTTTGCCACAAGAAATGCTTCATGAAAGTACCAGCTTTGAAGGCCASATTAAAAGAAAACCTTTCCAGTGGTTTGGAGCTACTGTAGCTTTAGCTCAAGGAAATAAGGACCATGCTCACGTTTCTGGGCGATATTTCCCAGTCAGATTGCACCTSTAAGGCAAAGCACGATTGGAGGCTTCCATGAAGTTCTGCCTTCCCTCTTCAAGGCCCTAATGCAGAAGCCAACATGTGTTTCTGGAGATGTCTTTCCAGAAGGTTCTCTTAACCCCAACATATCTGGAAAAGTTGTGGTCAATTCCCTTTCCTAGCAATTATTTTGTAGTCCCCTTGTGTGCAGCAGTGACTCCAGCCTGGGCCAGGACCCATTGCTGGGACCACCACCAGTACTGCAGTGATAGCCTGAGCAAAGGCACCCTGTGAGGAGGCACAAAACCAAGGTTYGCTATTTGAAGACTGAATTATTTGAGCACAGAAACTGTGATAGTTCCCACTGTAAAAACAGGATCACTGCCRGGTATTTATAGGTAATGCATTGCAAGTTCCTGTTCACACAATGAAGGTAACTGAGTTTCAATAGTTGCAGCTGCATAAAGCAGTTTTCTAATCCTACCTAGGTCAGCATGAAATAAGGCTGCACCAGGTGGAAATTGGACTCTTTTTTTCTGACAAGAAATGCGAAAATGAACACAATGTGCTCCACTTTGGAAACACAGAGGTGCCTTTTAAATTGCATCCAGAATAGCAAGGACTGATTGGCTTCATTAAAATCCAAACCTTAAAGATGATCTGATTAAACTGTTCAAGCAGCAGCTTTGGATAAAGCATTGGATTTAGTCATGATGATAAAATGTCTGGGTGTTTTGGGGAAAATCTCAAATTAGATCCGTTTTTTTTTAGCTGGTTGTTGTAAAAAATATGCCTAGTTTTAGCTCTTTTTCCATATGAGCTAGGAAAAACTGGGTGAGATTTGGGCAGTTTCCATGTTTCTCTAATAGATTGCCAGCAATGTTTCTCTTGCTTGCGACCACCAGTGACCTTTCTGCACTGGGTCATTCCTTCTCTCTTGGGTATTATTCCTCAGTCTGAAAGAAATTCAGCTCTTCCTTTTCCTTCTCCACAAACACTGAATGCCCTTCTGTGGCYTTCAGTGCTTCCACGTGTCATTCCCAAAGTCCTCTGCATTTTGGCAGTGCTAGGGATTTCTGCACTGCTCACCAACTTTGCAGTAATTCATGAAGTACTTTGGTGTCTCTATAAATGCCACTGGCCTAGAGAGCTCCCTTTGCCAAGATGCATGGTAGGAAGTTTACTGCATTGCTTTCTAAAGAGTAGCTGATTTTATGGCAAGCTTTASGGGAATTGCACCTTTGAGCCCCTTTCTATCCCTCTCTTTTTAAATTTCTGCTTTATTCATGTACTCATGTTTCCATCTGACTACGGTTTACTTGCTCAGTAAATTCCTGCCTTGCAGAAAGGATAACATATAAAGGCAAAGCAGCGTTAATACAATAACCTGGAAAATCACAAATTGTAACATTTCTACTTTTCTTGTGTGTTTTTTTACCCCCAGAACCCGACCGGTTTAGTCAATATTAAGCAACCCAGTTTTGTAACTCTCCATTTCCCCAAGAAGTGAAAAATATTATTCCCAGTTTAATAAATGGCAAAACTGARCTTCAGACAGGCATTTGCAGTAATGTAGCAGCAGAGCTAAAGACAGGTTCCAGTTTTCCTCATCCTGCCCTGCTTCACTGACCCCAGCCTGAGCCTGACCTCTCTTCCATGACTTTTAAAAGCAGATGATGCTTCTAATGTAGTAATTTCATATTTCAGGGGTGATTCTCTTTGGATTTGCTTATATGTTGCTGTAACAAGAAGAAATACAGTTTGCTCAGTAATGAGAGAGCCTTGGAGTCCGGTTTTTGGGGCTTTGCAGTTAACTGGCTTGTAGCTTTACCTTGATCTGCTTTTGTTTCTCTCTCTGTAAAATGATGCTGTCCTTAGCAGTCTGTTTCACAGCATGTTCCTGAGTTAGTTGAATGTACGGGAATTGCTCTGAGATCTTAAGTTAAGTGCAAATGTTTAATTCAGTATTAAATCCATCATCCCACCAAATCATCTCTTTGGAAGAGTCTTAATCCAATGTTTTATTAATATAAAAGCAATTATATTGCTGGCTCATCKGTCATGTGAACGGAACTCTCCTTTTCTTTCTTTCTTTCTTCTAGTGCGGATGGTCCATCCTCTGAAATCATGCAGATTGACTTTGAAATCGAAGACCTCACTGACCCACCTGGGACCCAACTCATCACGTGGCAGGTAGAATATCCTGGTGATACAACATCTGATCTAGGCATCTCCAAGATCTATGTAAGCCAGAAGGACCTGGTAGGAGTTCTCCCTTTGGCTATGGTAAGAAATTATTTAGCATTCTGCAAGTATTTAATATTGCATTACAACTCTGGAGCCTTCAGGTCTGCCTGAAGGAGAAGGGGATACTTCCAGCACTAGGATCAAAGAGCTTCTAACTTCTCACATAATGGGATCCCAATAAATGAGATCATTTATCGATCAATGTGTGCATGAGGGCAAGCTATAAGTAGTCGAAAAAGACCCAGTCATGCTCTCTTTGACCAGTACACTGACTTCTTGGAAGCAGAAACCGTATTGGTACCATTTCCTGTATTCTGACCACACATCTGATGTTGCATGGAATGGTRTCCTTGGACACACAGTTTGGCATTGTACGTATCTTCCTTGAATCACAGTTTTACATTTTTTTAGTTTTTAAGTATTTCCTGCATCCAAACTTTTAATGCTTTTGAATTCTGATTCTGTGTTCATCTGAGAGTGAAAGGAGAAATAAAAGGCATGGGATGACTTTTGAATAATTTTTAATTACCTGGGGAACAAAAAATACAATATAAGTCCATCTGTTCTACATCAGTGCATTTTAATGGATTAGCCCACCATCACAGTGCAAGCTTCAGGCTTGAAAAGCTCCTGATCCTTCATTCAGCTTTGGTCTTTTCTAAAAAAGGTGTCAGGTTGCAAATAGAATTTTTTTTTTCTTGGGTTTTCTCTTCTTTCCCCTTCATATTTCTTTCAGGGCTGTCTGAAAGGCTGACTGCCTCGCCTTTGCTGTTGGACCATTTATTAGGAAATAKTGACACGTTATTGTTTTGCACTGAAAGCAAAACAAAAATCAATCTCAGATGATTTTATAAAAACATAACCTGGATGGTTGCCTACTGATAGCCAGCTAATTATGCCATTACTGAAGGCTAAAGGTGGTTCTCTGCACTTCCAGCTACATAGAGCTAGGACTGTTGTCGTATTTACCAATTTTTAAAAATACTCAGATATTATGATGCTTTATTTCACCAATAAGTATTTTGTCTTTTTTTAATGGCTCTTTTTCACTAGTAATGGGTATCTCACATTAGAGACAGGGGTCTCCTCTTGAAATTGTGGCTGTCTAACAAAGCAGGGTTGGATTTTCAAGCTGCGTGTTTCTCATGGCTCTTTTCACGGACTGGTTCTTACTGTTGAGCAATGTGTGATCTCCRCGGTGTTGTTGGAAGACAGGAGGCTTTCAGTGTGCAGACTAGTCCCTGCTGTGCTGACACACATGTTCTGGGGTATGGAGGGCTAAGGTGTTAGGTGTGATCTGACTTAACGCTATCTGCAATGTTGTTTTTTAATGAAGAGATAAAACTGTCTTGATAATAATTCCGATGGTTGCATAAAACACTGGTTCATCTCCTATGATCCTACTAAGAAATGTAGTTGCCAAGTAGTCCTTGAGAGTAGAGACCCTTCTGTCAGCGACTACAAATCCATTCACTCTCTTCAGTTCCATTAAAAGATGAAGAAAAACATCCCATTTTCAAGAAGTGCAGAATTCTGTGCTCAAAGGTCATATAAAGTCTATAAAGTTGTCAGCAGGTGACATTTTACAAGGCAACAGGTGTTGGGATAATGGGTAGCAGAAAAAGCAAAGRTGAATAACAGGGTCCCCTCATCACTGACACTCTGGGAATAGCTTTAACCTTCTCTGCATTAACTGGAGTGTCATGAAACAAAGTCTAGGGTATCACAAATCTCCAAATCTTTGCAGTATACCTCATTTTATACTTAGCAAATGATGATTCAGGTGCAGACCTTTCAATATGTGTAACTTAGTTTAGTTTGGTGCTCCAGATTTCTCCATGACCTTTTCAGAGCCAGTTTGTAATTTCTAAATTTAAAAAATTTAAAATGAAAAATACTCTTTTCACTAGGGCAAACCACAATGAAAGGAATGTTTCATGGTTGGTCTCTTTCTGAACTGAACTTAAATCAGATTGGTGTTGCTGGGTTTCTTTGTGGAATCTGTAATTTCATGTTTCGAAGCACCAAAAAAAAAAGCTGTTGAATATTTCAATTACAAGTTAAATTTTCAAAAGAACAGCTTAACTGCTTTACTGTTCAGCAGAGTTTTGTTTTCTGATAGACTGACACATACCATCTCTGCACCGTCTTTGTATTCTGTAGTCTTCTGTGACAACAGCTATGGATTTGTAAATTGCAAAGCAGAATATTGGTCAATTTGGAGCCTGTGTTATCTTTTTTTAAGTTACAAAATGCTACAATGGAAAGATGTAGCTATCAATATCATAGATATCAGTATCAAGAGGCTCTGGAAACGCAGCAGAAGATAGCTTCTGCTAAAGTTATTAGGATACCTGATGCAACCACCTTGCTTTTCACCAGTGCATATTTTTTTCCTATGGCATATTAGTATTTCAGCTTTGGAGGCTCCTGCAGGGCCCTTCACCAATATCAGCAACACAAGCCACAGCAGAGCACTCTAGGATATTAATGAGAAAAGCTGCGCATTGTGTTTTATGGATGCATGGGTACCATAAAGTCTGAAATTTCTGACCCTTTAATAACCCCTTTTCTAATTTTAGTCAGTAACAGTCTTTAAAACTCATCTCAGTGAGCTGTGCATGGGCACCAAGTCTGCCCTTATTAGTAGAATGGGATGGGCCTGAGTGGAGTCTTGTTTAATTAGAGAAYATTGTCAGAGCTTTGCTTTGAGCACCTGCTTGGGTCTTGGCCATGCATGATCCTTTCCCTTAGGCCTGATGAAATACGGGCAGAGATGTTTATCCAGGGTTATAAAAAAGTTACCAACCATTTACCATGATTGCTTTCCAGTGCCTCTTATGGCCATCAGAGATGTCTCCCTTGTTGACAGAAACTAAAACACTCTCTGAGGTGCTGTGGATGATGCAGATATTTGTAAAGCACAATGTTCTTGGCCAAATCCTGCTGCCTCCCATGGGTTCCTTGCACAACCACCAATCACCCACTCTGTGAGGTCTGTGGGCTCTGTGGCCAAGGACCTGCATGAGAACATGCTTAGTGGCCTGTGGCCTCTAGAAGCCACAAGGACTTTATCCAGAGAGAGAAGCCTGGACATGGGAGACCAAGGGATCTCTCCATAGAGGGCGAGTGGGGAAAAACTTGTGGATATTTCAGTCTTCATTGTCAACCAATACACCTTAATTGTCCTTAAACTTCCTTCTCTTGAAATTCATCATTAGTAGGATATCTATTGAGGCCCCAAACCTCAACACATCTTAAGACATTTGAAACAAGGCATGCAAAAGCATATGGACCTTTCGTCCGTTAGCATCCTAGAAGGTGCAGAGCTGCTGAGGTTTGCTGAGCTGAGGATAGGCAGTGTGGTGTGACAGCCACTCGTGAGCTTCCTAGGCATACAACATTATGTTTTACTGCCATACTAAAGAATCAGCTTTCAGCTCTTCTTGCTAGCATTTCTTTCCCATTTGATTTCCCTCTTGTTTCATTAAGTAATGAATGGCACAAGTTTAATCACTCAAATTGTACATTTGCTGCTATTGATTATCGTTGGTCTTTACACATTCTGTCAGCTCCTCCATAATTGTGGTGTTCACCTTTTGTTGAACCTTAATGATTAGGTGAGGATGAGAGACACAAGAGCTCCGTAGCCATCTGTGTACATACAAGATAATCCCTATTGAGAAAGGCAGAGGGCAGATCTGACATGCTGGTAAATGGATAAGTAGAAATCTGTTCTGTAAATAATAATAGCAAAAATGGTGAATAATAAAATACCTGGGATGGTTCTTAACCAAACCACCTCTTAATCTCTAAATCGTGTGTCTTCCCCGTGTATATGCCTGAAACCTTCTCTGCCTCTGACCTCTATTTTATAATGATAAGGCATAAGGGCAAAACGCATGTTGTATAAACCCCATAGATGGAGATGTTGTGCTGAAGGTTGAAAAATCTCTTATTATTGTAGTCCTTTGCCTAGAAAATAACCGGTGTTTATTTTCCTGCAAAACACAAAATGAAAGCATCTGCAGCATGCTTAGTGTCACTTCAGAAATTTTTATGAAAATGTTGCAGATTCCTCCCTTATGGTTTTCAAAGAAGGAAACCGTAAGTCCTTTGGAGTCCACAGAAGTAGGGGCTAGGGACTTGATTGTTTTGTATGGTTGTAGGATTAACATTTCAGAGTTGATAATTCAGCCTTGTTTGTGGCCAGACTCTCAGAAATTAAATAACCCGGCAGGCAGGACAGCTTGCTGGGCACTAGGGCTGAATTAGCAGGTTTCCCTTTTCTCAGGGAATGGCAGGACAAGCTCTTTTTAGGCTTTGGGTAACGTTATGCTCATATGTCCACTGAGAGCCTCTCTTCCTATTGAGTACACGCTTGCAATCTAGTCAACATGAACCTAAAACTAGGAGAACCATTGCTGCCCTCAGAAACGTGCACAAACACTCAGCTGACTTTTTGTGGAGGAAGACTGTTTCCATAAAGATCAAACTGACCTATTTTTTAAGCTGTCATGAAGTTGATTTAAGCAAACTTGAATGAGCTGTCTTCATGAAGCAGGCGATGGGACGGGTTGCTAACCTCCTTTCCTGCTAAACTAGCACCACTGCTTTTGGAACACTTGTGTCACCACAACTGCTGTTGTAGAAACACAGCTGGAATATTTGTTTTACAAGATAAAGTGAATAAATAGGTGTAAAAATACTGCTGACTTTATTTTGGGGGCAGAAATATTTTGTGAGGTGTAGTGGGTTGCAAATTTCTAATTTAAGTTTGCATTTTGTAAATAGATGGGTTTTGGTGTATCCTAGGACAAAAACCCAGGCTCGCATTGGAGATGATCATGTTCATAATCTCAAACCCAATAGACGCATTTTGGCTTCTGAGTAGTTATATTTATGGCACTCTAATTAAATTATATCCAAAACCCAAACAAAAATATAACATTAAACCTTTTTGATAATTTGTTGTTTTGACTTGTTCTTGATGTTCTTTACAAAAAACAATGAAAATGCTGACAGGAAGCAAACTGTTC